CCCCCCTGCCACTGGCAACGGAGCCTCTGGGGTGCGTGGGGAGGACGCACACGCGCGTGTCTCGTCACTACAGCACGCCCATCCCCTGAGCATCCCCGACGCCCTGGGCAGCAAGGCACACTTCAGAGGAGTTAATAGCAGCCAGCTTTGTGTCTGGGAGATGAAAGGGGAGGAGAAAAATGTGCTGCTTGGGTTTGCTCCATTTCCCTACCCACAGGTCCTCTTCTCCCCCTGCCACCTCCTTGGTGGCTGGAGGGACCCCAGACATCTCCCAGGACAGAGCCCAGCTGGAGGTCATAGCCATCCTGAGCAGAAATAGGTCCAGTGGCTCCGGAGTCCCCAGCAAACCTTGGGGAAGCATCAGTGCCCACCCAGGGACAGGCACAGCTGGCAGACCCCCAGCTGGGCTTGTGTCCTGCCACACATGGGGGAGTACCAGGATTGCCTCCTCTGCTCCCCTCCTAGTCCTTCGCCCTAGGGAAGAACAAGGCTGGGGACTACTTCTCTGATTCACAGGCTGTGCCACAGCTACTGCTACGATAGAAAATTTGCAGAAGTACCACATTTTAAGACCCTCCCACCACAGATACCTCTTCTCACAGTCAGGGAACAGGAGACAAAATGTGCTGCCCTGGAGTCCCAATGAAGAGAGCTGCAGATCATGAAATGCATCTTTCACCAATTTCTGCCCTCATATTTTGTTCACAAAGCCATTCTAATAAACAGTTAGCAAAAATTTGCATCCCAAAACAGTAAGGAAGAGGTTAATTTTTGCCCCCTTCCTCCAGCACCCAGGCTGTGTGCAGGGCTGATCGGAAAGCACCAGCACCGGGAGTCCCTTCGCTATCAAAGGTTCACCTTTTGTTTTTCCCTTCAAAGCCTTCAATTCCACTTGTTCTGATCCCACTTAACACCTGCACAGCAGGGAGCCCGAAGAAGAAACAGAATTTTTGCCGCCGTGGCCCCACGAGGCTGCTGGAGGCATTGAGTGCTGCCAGGGTGAGCACCCAGCAGTGAGGGACACATCACCCTTCTCCTGTCCCCATGCCATAGCCCCCAGCACTGGGAACAGCTCACGGACCAAGCGCACTGAGATGTGTGCCCCATTCACCTCTCCTTTTGCTCCCTGCCTGCAGCTGCCTTCAGAAGTAACATGGGAACTCCAGGAGCTGCTCCCTCACACTTTATTTTCCGTGCACGCCGCTGTGGCAGTGACCCTAGGAGACATCCAGCCCTGCCCTGGGACAACGAAGAGCCAGGAGGAGGAGGCAGGGAAGAGGGAAAGGAAGTAACTAAAATCATCACACCCCAACAGGGACAGCATTAAGCAGAAACTCTCCTCACCCAGATCCCGCCCAGCCAGGGCAGCTGGCATGAGTGTTTAACAGGCTTTTAAAGCGCGTGTTGAGCTGCACAGCAAAGCCAGCACAAGCAGAGCTGCCTGCACTGCCACCCTGCTCCCCTGCCCAAGGGCTGTAGCTCTTGAGAGGTTGGAAATCCAGCGTCCAATTAAAGAAGTGTGTGTGGTTGAGACATCCAGCACGAGGTCAGAGTCCTGCTACCAAGGGAATAAACCTTACCTGTTCCTATCCATCGGGATACGAGGGTCAGACACCACAGCTGGTACAAGAAACATGTCCAGAACACACAGAGTTTATTAAAATACGCATTTTATGGGTCGGTGTTTCCAGATTTACACCAGGATTTATGCCTTACATAAAAGTCATACTGTATCCCCTACAACCTGCCAATAATTAACCTTTAAGAAGACAGTTTGACCACCTCTCTTCCAAACATCATCTATCCACACTTTGATGGTGGCGTGTCCCACAAAGGGTCAGCCTGTCTCACTCTAGAATAGAGCTTAAAACCCACAGCCTTCCTCCAAAACACATTTTCACCTCTCAGAGAAGGGAACCAAGCCATTTACCTACTTTGCTGGCACGAGCCACACAGCAGCACCCTCCCCCTTACACAGACCCTTTGTGTAGGGTCCCCTGGTAACCCTGACCACATCCCAGAGCCACAGGAACCACCCCTGCACCAGTGCTCCCACCTCTTACATGCACCCTGCCACAGCACGGCACAGCGAGCCCTGGCTCCCACCTGCAGTAAATCCCAGCCCTCAGCTATCAGGCACAGGTTCGGACCTGCAATTACTCGTAGGACAGTCATTTATTCGTCAACGTCCAGCTGCCAGATTTACAGTCACGGATGCCTGATGCAGTTGCAGGCAGAAAACACCCCAGCATCCATGTCTGTAAATAAGCTCTGGGGACATCGGGATGATGTGCAAATCCAGCTCCAACAGGTAGAACAGCGTGGGGCTGTTTGGTCATGCCAACACCTGCCCCCAAGCACACCTCCCGCAGATGTGCTGGATGACCCACCAAAAGCATCTCAAAGCGGCCTCAGATCCAAGTGTTCCCTAACTCCAGAGAAGGAGAGCTGTTGAACTGGGCTTGTTTTCAGCTGAGCGTCTGGGTTGAGAATTCCCCTCACCTGCGCTCTTGCACCGTCGCTGAAGTTACAGCTTGGCACCAGACCTGGGAGCGATCCTGCCCTCTGGCGCTGGCAGCCTAACAAATTCCTACTGCTGCCCAAACCGGCAATTTTCCATGGCCTGTCTGGTGCCATCACTGTCGGTATGAGGTCTTATAATCCAGAGAGTCACCATGGGGAGGTTTCCCATTTAAATCTCTCTGGGAAAGAGCCAAGCTCCTGGATAAACACAGACCTCAGCAACGCTCTTGCTATTGCTTTGTATCTGAACCTTTGCAAACGCTGCTGAACTGCTTCCAGCAGGATGGGGAGCTCCTGGCTCCTCCAGCTCGTAGCTCCCAGAGCAGGGGCTATGGCATGGGAGAACTGGCAGCACTACCTCCACCAAAGAGCAGCTGCGCAAGGAAGAGAAGAAAACCCACCAGCCCTTTGCAAACGCTCAACCACTCTGCACAGGCTGTTGGGGTGGAAGAGGAACAGATCACAGCAGTTGGCTGAGGACTTCTGTGGGGTCAGAATTATCCAGGCTGGGATGTGGCCAGGGGACGGGGACGACCCTACATCTGCAAAGACCCAACCCCTTGGGTTTGCAGCTCCTCTGGCTGACAGCCCAGGGGCCAGAGGGTCTCCCATCGCTTTGGGCACGACAGACACCTCCCGTATCAGCCACCAATTTCTTACGGGACCGGGGCTCTTCACAGCGGTTTGCCACACAAGCACCGACGCCATCGAACACGCTAGGCGGTTGCTAGTGTACACGGAGCATTTGCAGCCCCAGCCCGGTCCTGGGGCTGCGCCTGTTGGGCCATACTCCTTGTACCCCACCTCCCCCTGACACCCACCTCCAGCTGCTGTGGCACAAGGCCCAGCTTCACCGGTTCCCTCACCCATCTGATGCTAGGGCACGGAAGAGGGATGGCACCTTGGCCATAATCGGGGCCTAAAGGACATGGATCCTCAAGGGCCTACAGTGCAAAAAGCAGGTCAAGTTAAGAAGAAACACACAGTTTTACTGTTTGCAAGTACGAGCAAGGATTCTCTCCCAGCCCTCACCCGCCCCGCCGGGGTGGGCAGGGGAGGTCGTGGTGCAGGAATCATCTCCTCAGCCAGAGCCACGTGTTGATGAGGCAGGCGGAGATCAGCACGGAGTAGACCAGGGCCTCCTTCTGCCGCCAGGCGTTGCACTGCTCCTCCAGCACACGGAGCCTCCCCGAGATCCTCGCCAACTGCAAGGGAAGCGGTGGGGCTGCCATCAGCCCTGCAGCGAAGTGCAGGGCACTGCCTACAGCTCACTGGCATGGGACAGCAAGGGATGGAGGGCTGGGAGCTGCCGTCCCCTTCAGGTCCTCCTTTTCTAGAGCATTGGCTATCTTTGTGTGGGAGAAGTGGCAGCAGCACCAGAGCTCCTGAGCAGATGCTTCAGGAAAAGGTCCTTCCCACCAAAGAGCATCTGAGCCCTTTACTGCTATTCTGGAGGGTCTGGCTGCCCCTTCTCACCCTACAGCCCCCCCAGGGTAGGAGCTTGATGGGCCAACACACACAAAATCCTCCCCAGCTTCCCCATTACCAGCATCAGCCGGGACTAGCTTGGCAACACCAGCCCATCAGGGCTGAGCAACTGACCCCGCAGCCTCCT